GGCTTCTCAGGGCCCACGCCTGGCATCTACCCAGCACTGCCCTCCCCTCATCAGGTTGCAGAAAGCACACATTTCCTTGTCATCACCATGACTTGCATTGTGCTCCCAGGTTTTTTCTACCTGTTGGTTCTGTGATGTCAGATTACAGACCCTCCCTGACTTGCCATAGAGCTATTTAGAAAATAGAGATTAGCACACAATTGTTCAGGGTTATTGGGAAGACAGGGATGAAGCGAAACCTGTCCAGCCAGTCTGGCCACATCTAGCTGCCTGTGAGTATCTGCCTTTGTCCTTCACTTAGAATGCTCACTGGAAGGAGTAAGAACAGAAGCAGCTCACATTTATTGAGTGCTTGCTTGGTGCCAGAAACTGGTCTAAGCACTTTCCATGTAGTAGCTCATTTATTCCTCTTTCTCTAAAGGCAAAAGTATTTTTCTGGACTCCCTCAAGCTATCCATATTCCCACCCACCGCACTGCCGGGCCTAGCATCATTTCAACAGAACTTGCTGATTTCAAACAATATGTTACTGAAACGATTTCTTGTTCTCTGTTGCTGGCTTATAGCAGCCAGTTTGCTTCCTATGATAAAATGTGGGGGGAAAAAGCAGATTTATTGGCTTTTAGCACAAAGGAATAGTCCCAAATCTGAACTCAAGGTTAACTCCTATGAAAGATAGAAAATGGGGACAAGAGAGAGTGGTGGAGATGGCAGTTGGGAGCCAGGAAGGAAACAAGTCACAGTTTTTGCTGCAAAGCTCAAAACTTTAGTTGAGTCCCCCAGGCATGTATCATGCCATTTCATCACAACGCTTACACACACACACACACACACACACACACACACACACACACACACACCTGTCTCACAGCAGCACATCGAGCCCCTCCTCCAGCTACCTTGAGCAGGTCTCCAGGAAGGTATGTATCCAATTTCATTGTTTTAACCTTTCTACTCTCTCATTTTCATAGGTTGTCCCTTCTCCAGAAGCACCCTTTGTCTCCTTTTCTATCTACAACTCCTTCAAGATTCTGCTCACATGTCACCTTTTCCAGGAAGTCCCAAGGGTCTTCAACATGATTGGGATAGTCCTTGCAGCCCACACAACAGCCTCGCACACCTCTGGGCTTGGTCACACAATGCCTTCCTCAAGGCCCCTGCAAGTTGCTGCGCACCAAGCCTCCTTTGATGTCATCATGCCCCCAGCAGTGTGTACAGAGCTTGGCATACAGGCAGCGCTCCATGGATACTGGTTGACTGAGCAAAGTAGAAAATGAGCATAATAACTCCACTTGGGTAAGTGGTCAGGCTATGATATTATAATTATGTGGTTGATAATTAGCTGGTACCTCTAGAGGCTAGGAGGCTGTGTTGAGCCCTTTATCCACCTTATGATGGTTCTTAAGTACTGAGCACCTGCTGCTGTCCATGCATGTGGCAGGCAGGACACATATGTTATCTTCATCCCAGATCTCAGCCTTGCTATTGCAGGCTCAGAAAACAGAGTGCCTGCCCAAGGCACACAGCTAGAAAGGGGAAGAGCCAAAACCCAAAGCCAAGGTCTGCCCAACACTTTTCCCCAAGGCATGCTGTCTCCCAGAGCAGGCCCCTTATATGTTATTTTGCAGAGGAACTTGATGGGCCCCTGTGTGTCCCTATTCCAGCCTTTGGTTCTGCTGAGCCTCAGTGCCTGCAGACTCAGTCTCACAGTTCTGCTTCCTGCCTGGTTACAGGGAAGGATGAGTCTCTCCTCCCCAGGAAACTTGAAAAGGCCACAACGTACAGAGCTGATGTCCCAGCTGATGCTGGTGGAACAACATGGGCATTCAGGAATGGAAGCCACTTTGTCTGAATGCTGAGCGATTAACCCCTGCCCAGCCACAGCACACGGAGGAGCTGCGAATGAACTTATTCTGAACGAGCCTAAGAATAAGACCCGACAGACACTGCTCAGCAACACAGTTCTCTCCCCTGCCAGGTTTATTTCCAGACCATGAGACTGGCATGGAGGCAGCTGGCACATCCCGCCAGGTCTCCCCTGGAACACTGTCCCTTCCTTGGTACACTAGTCCTCTTGGTGATCTCAAGTCTGATGACTGCTTGGCACCCTGCTCCCCATTCTGTGTACTCTGCCCCCTAATGGAATAAACACTCACAAATGGCCTGATTCTTACTGCAAATGCAATTCATTGTTCTCTAGGTGAGTCAAGCCAAGAGTCTTGGGGTGTGTGACTCAATGTAAGAGAAAATCTGTTTGGTCCTTGATAAAGTTATTTATTCCTCAGGCCTTTCTTGAACTCTTATTATGTATCAAGTTTGGGCTGGGAGCTGGAGACAGCAGGAAATCAGATAGGATTCTTGCCCTGGCCTGAAGGGGGCACCAGCACAGTCCAATAGGTCGGACAATGTCCCACACAGGAGAAGCTATACCTAAACGAGCTGTACCTAAAGTTGTACCTTTTTACAGGAGGAGAAAATGGTGAGGCACCAGGTGTTTGGTGATGTACAGTGGGGCTGAGGGGGGATCAAGAAGATCTCCAAAGCAGAAGAAACCTGGTGTGGTACATATAGATTATTTTTATCTCCAATAGATGGATTAGAAAACCAAACAACAGAGAGATGAAGTCCTTTGCTCAAGGGTGTGCAGTGAGGAGACGAAGGGTCTGAGTGCAGTCACTATAGCCTGAGAGTTCATGCTCTTAGTCACTGTACCATAGTGCCACTGCCTCCAAAGGGCAAAAGCTTGAGGGAGAGCAGTGTGGTTGGTGATGGGTATTCCTGATGGCCTGCTGTGTGTGTTAGGGGCCCCCAAGGCACAGTTTCTGGCTTCCACAGAGAAAGCAGTGAAATATTTCATTAAAAGACCTTGGAAAAACCTACAGCAAATCTTTGGAAACTCCAAGCACAGAGCCATGATAGAAAGCCTCGAGGGATCACTTGGAGTCTGTAGGTGGGTGGATGTGACTGACAAACTCTTCAGTGGCAAGGAGGAAGGGTACAAGAAGGTAAGAGAAAGTTGCACTCCAACAGGAAAGACCCTGCTCACTGCAGCTCCTTAACTACTGACCCTGCAAGGAGGTTGAAGTCAGGAAGTTCCTGAAGGTGAGGAGTTCTCAGCATGCAGAAGTGGGGGAATCCTTGGACATGTAGCTAAGGCTCTGTTTGTCTGGATCACCATGAAAGGGTGACTCCACTTTTCACTCATCCAGCTTCTAGGAAGGCTAGGATGTTGGGGTGGAGGAGATAGAACAAGACATGCCCAAGATCGGAGAATATGAGTTATGTGCAGCTTCTGTGTAATGCATTTTTGTGTAATGCAAAGTTAGATTTTGAACTTGCTGGCTCTGAGCAATGGACAGCTCCTTAAAACCTCCCCATCCTCATTTTACAAATGGGAATAAAACTCATGGCTAACTCACCATTGGGGTAATAGCAAAAGCAAATAGTGGCTGTTAGAATTCAAGCCACATTGTAAAATAATTGTCAGACAGTAGAAAATTTGATAAGCTGTGTTGTACAACTTGGAACTATTATAACCTTGAATTTCAGTCTTACTCTAGATACTGCTAATTAGTGGCCAACTAAGGAAGAATAAACATGAGATTGCTACCCTCCTTCCTTTGCCTTTATGGAACAAAGAACTGTACTTAACAGTTCTGGAAGAAGTCATTTAGAAGCATATTTGAACCACATTTCTTGCTTGGCAAGGCAGAGAGCCACTGGGTAAGCATTCTTTCAAGACCAAGTGAAAAACCTAGAAAATAAGGAGCATTTCAGGGCTGGATAGTTCAGGGTCATTCCATATATAGGCTTAAAGCAAAGCTAGTAAAGCAGGACCAAACCCAGGGACAGCATCCTAGATAAGGAATAACCCAATCAGCCAATCAGAGTCCTAGCCTGACCAACATCATTGCCAACACCTGTTGGAACTATGGCATCTTTCTGCCATCTCAGAAAAAGCTTTATTAGAAATGAGATTATCAGGAGTGAGGAATTCATAGTTGACAAAATCACCATCAAAGTACTGTCAATAAACACACACACACACACACACACACACACACACACACACCCCAACTTCCCTTGTCCAAGTCCACCTCAGGGACATTTTTACACACGGAAGGCTGTAAAGGCTTGTGCCATGCTGGGGTCTGGCACCAGAGCTCTTCCAAGACAGACGGCACAAGGCAGATACCTTCTGTCCGACAGCTGCGTTATCCAGACCCACAGAGCGGCGGAATCCGCAGAGCAAATGGCTTACAAACCTGGAGCACAGCTTCTCCTGGTCCTGGCTATTTGGCATCCACATCCCTGCCATGCTGCTTTCCCACCTGGAGGGCATTCCTCCAGACCGGAAGGCCCAGATTCAAACCTTACCCAAGGAGAGCAACTGAAGGGCCTGTTCCCATCAAGACTCCAGCACTTTTACAAATTACCAAAAGGGAGGCTGCATCTTCCCCCTATCAAACAGGCTACAGCTTCAGTGCTGGATAATATTCTGGGAGTTTGCACCTACATTTTAAGTGTTTTGGAACTCTCAAGTTATAAGCTGCTTAGGATCCTGAGCTTGCTTAGGGACTCTGCATGATTCTCCCGGTGGCCCATTTTGGAAAGATTCCTGTTGGGTTTCCCAGAGACAACAAGCCTACCCTGAAGACATCCCTACTCCCAGATGCAGAGCAGGAGCTTGGAGTCCTGTAGTCTGGGTGTGAGGTCAGTCAGACAGGAGGAAAACGGCATTCACAGAAAGGAATAGAGCTAGTTGAGTGAGTTAGGAGGTTGACTCAGGAAGGAGAGGCACCAAGACAAGCTAGCAGTCTGCGAGAAGACTCCTCCTACAGTTAAGTTCAACTTCCCCCAACCTGGAGAATACTCAACCTGCCCAAGAGAGGATTTCCCCTCGGCACCAGGAAATGGGGGAACCTAGTGTCTAGCCCCTAGGGGGACTGCTGGGAAGACGGGGATGGAGAGGAGGGCAGGCTCGCGCGGAGGGCAACTCACGGAGGAGAAGTTGTGCGGACCGCAGAGCTCGCCGCGGTACTTGCAGGACAGCAGCATGTCCTCCAGCTGGTGGCCCAGACGGTCCATGAAGGCGGCGCTGATGCCCTCGAAATGACGCGGGGGCAGGAAGAGCCGGAAGTCGGCCAGCTTGCGGAACCACTGGCGGCGTGGCTCATCGCCCCGCAGCAGCTCACTGACCAGCGGGCGCGCCGTGCGGTTGGGTAGCAGCAGCCCGAGCCAGTGGCCAGCGTAGTAGAGGTCCCCCTTGGAGAGGCGCGGGAAGCGTAGCGGGTTGTTGTTGCACACGGTGACGGCCGGGAAGGGCAGCTGGCGGCTCCACTCGCGGTGCACCCGCGTGTGCGACGGGAAGCTGAGCCAGTACAGCAGGCGGTTTGAGGACCAGGACAGCAGCAAGCCGAGGGACGTGCAGAAGGCCAGCACCCATAACGCCCGCCGCTGGAAGGAACCCCCCGCCGCGGTGCGTCCCGCGCACATGTGCCGCAGCCCGTGCAGTTTAGCGCGGCTCAGAGACGGCCGCCCCCTGCGGGCAACCCCCGGCCCCTGCAGCGCCCGCTCTCCGCCTCTGCCACCCCCGGGCTGCCCGGCCGCTGCCACCTCGCGGGCCATGCGGAAGCGTCCCGGGCCGGTGAGCGCGGCCGCGGGCAGCCCGGCTCCGCCGCTCCGGCTCATTCATTCAGCCCGCGGCTGGCGCCGGGCGGAGCCGCCATGGGAGTCCGCAGCAACAGAGGGAGCGGCGGCTACCGCGCACAACCCGTACCAGGGAAGCGTGCGCCCGAAAGGAGCTCCGGTGGCGCGGCATGCCCGCCAGGCGCCTCCGCCGCCGCCTCCGCGGGCGCCCGCCCGGGACCGAGCGCAGCCTCGGCCTGTCGCTGCTGGCACTGGCCTCTCCCGGGCGCCTCCCAGACTCTCCGCACGCCGAGTCTTCCTGGGGGATGACTGACCACGGGCTCTATCTCCGGAGGGCCCCCTCCCCACACAGAGCCCCTTCTCCAGCCCCTGGGCGCTGCGCCCGCTTCTCTTCGTCCCGGACCTGGGGGGACCCTGCGCTGAGTCCCCCTTGCTCCGTCTAACCCCAGCTTTTGCGCTCGTCTTGGGAGAGGGGCCACTCGTCCACCATGCCTGATTTAGACATCCCTAAGGACCCCACCAGCCTGGCCCAGGGGTGCTGGGACACCGGAGAGAAGGCGCCAAGGAACGAGCGCCCCCAGAGGCGCAAGGCGGCTCTTGGCTTGGCGGGCGGGGTGGGTGTGTACTGGGGTGAGTGGTCGCGCAACGGCTGCTTCCTCTTTTCCGTCCCTCTGGGCCCGTTCCTCCTCACTGCCGCCGGGGCTGCGCTCGGCAGAGAACCACGAAGGAGTCCCCAAGTCCTGCGCCCGAGCCCTGCGAGTGCCCGCTGTCGCCTGGGGCTGGAGGCTTCTTAGGGCGTCCTGAAGGAAGCTTCTCGCTGCCCGGCGCTTTCTAGGCTCCCGGCCGGGGGAAAGTGTTGCTTTCCGCGTTGGCTTGGATCGCAGGGATGCCTCACGTCTCCAGAAAAGCGGAGCTTCGTTGTCTCTTCTCTCCTCTGCCCCAGTGGTGCCGGGTGCTGGAACTGAGGAGGCCCGGCAACACCTCCCGGGGGGCGACTCTGACTCGCTGCTCCGCGCGCCCTTCTCAGCCGAGACTCCAAGCCCGTGGTGGCGGTGGCGGTGGCGGTGGCGGTGGCTGCGAGGCCAGCTGCGCTCCTCTCCTGGACGCCCGGCCCTCCTCGGGCCCCGGGCGAACTTGGTCAGCGGCCGCGCGAGCCTGGCGCGGCTGGGCTCTCAGCACCTGCTCTTCAGCTCGCTGGCCCCGCGGCTGGGGCGGGCGGGGCGGCGGCGGCTGCTAGCGCTGTGCGCTCCTGGAGACGCGTTGCTGACGCGGCCCGGCTCCTCCTCGCTGCATTTTAATTCTTGGCCACTGTGGCCGCTGCGCACCGAGCCGGGAGCTGCTTGCTGGAGTTGGCGGGGTGGTAGTGGTGGTGGTGGGAGGGCGGGGGGGGGGCGGTGCGGTGAACAGATGTGCCTGGGTGTGCGGGCTTGTGGAAGAGACGTAGAGTGATGGAAACACTGTGGTGTGCAACCGTGTCTAGATAAAGCATGAGCATACACTCGAGTGTGCAGGATGGGCTGGAGGGACAGAGGAGGCTGTGCATCAGAGCAAGCCTGAGTGTGGTGTCATGCACAGCGCGTGGGCGGTGTGCACCATGTGTGCGAATGGGTATTTCTATCTCCTGGATGTGAAACTTGTGTCTGCGGGTGGCGTATTGTGGCTGCTAGGGACTGTGGGATATGGGGAGGACAGTGCGTCTGGTGGGATGTTAGTGGCTAGCGGATGGTGGCGGGCACGAATGGGTATGGTTTCCAGATATAGTGTGTGGTTGGGGTGTGTGTATGAGTTATAAAGGAACCTGTGTGTTGAGGTTGATCAGTGACTGAGCCTCTAGCAGGTGGGGCTTGTGCACCCCAGCCCTTCTAGAAGGCAACAGCTGCTCAGCCTCAGCCCTGCCCTCTCTGGAGAGGGAGGAGAGGGAGTGTGTCCCTGGACAGGACACTGCACAGCTCCTACTCCAGTGCCTGGCTGATGACATCATCCTCCCCTCCTGGGTAGGCCCAGGCTCTTCCACTGACCTTACATTTGGCCTTTTAAACATCCCACCTGCACTTCCTTGGCACACTGACTAGGCAGAGTGTATGATGGGCTCGGTTTCATTGGCAAAGTTAGGGAGGTGAGTACTGACCCAAAGTCACACAGCCTGCATGCAGTGGAGCTGGATCAGCGTCCCAGTCTCCAAAGCACTGTTTCTTTCAATTGTTCCACAGCTCTTACATTCTTGTCCTCTGGTCACAATGCATAGGATCTTGTTCCCACAGTTGCCTGGTGGTGTAAGGCGCACAGTAGGACTCACCCATACTTCCTAAGTCATAGACTCACTGGACTTCACTGGGATAGGTGACACTTTGAATGCTATTACTCCATAAAGGCCTTTCTAGACATTTTTCAGAGAGTATATTTGATGAGTGAGAAAGAAGGAAGGGATCCTGAGGTAGGAGGGTGCCCCAGTTGAAGAAGGAGCAAAAGTTGTCCCTTGGGGACAGGAGATTTGGGGAAGAAAGGAACGGTTTGAGAGGGAGAGGAATTTCTCCCTCATGTGACAGTGAATTAGGGACAATTCAGATAGATCTGTCCAATGGGCAGCAGGTGTCCAAGGAGGAGGGCAGTGAAGGTGGGTGGCTGTTCCTTCCCTGCTGTTCTGCAGAGCATTCCTTGGGCCGGTCACTCCCTGCTTCTGGACTCTGGGGCCCTTGTCTCCAGCTCTTACACACAGCTACACATACACAAATATATATATATATATATATATATATATATAATGAACATATACAAAGTATGCACAAATGTGTGCACATGTACTCCACAACACATGCACACAGGACATGTACATATTTCACACAAGTACACATTACATGGCACATATAGTTGATGTACCATCTGTACAACCATACATTACATACAACATACAAACATAAAAACACAGATACTACACAAAGACATACAACTGCACACACCTCAAGGCCTTTCTCTTTCATTGGAGAAGATTCTCTTACAGCTGGTTGTTGCTGAGATTCTTCTACTTTGGATTTGATCTGTCACAAGTGTCTGCTGTTGGCTTTGGCAGGGGGTTCTGTGGTTGCCGATGGTACTGGGGCCTCTGGCAAAGGGTTGCACTTAGTGTTCTGGGCTTGGTCCCAGGGCTCTGTCCTGGAGACACCCTAGTGACCCAAAAGCAAGGTGAAGTGAACTCGTGGTCTCAGTGCAGTTATAGCAAAGCGGCCAAGACAAGCACGTACCAACCCCCAGCATCTTCACTCTGGAGCATCAGCAAGCTCCATGTTATATAAAGCCTTTAAAACATTTCATGATTCTGATTTGTTTGGCTGTTGTGGGATTTTTCTTTCTTGGCAGTTTCCTCTCTTGAAGTATATGCCCGCTACTTTGGATTGATTGTGTGCTCTGCCATGGGTTTTCTTGTCCATTCTCCAGATGGTCTGCTTGCTTGGGAGACAGGGTGCTCTGCTTATATCCAAAGGGTGTTATTACCAAGATGGGGTGGCAGTGGTTCCCAAGCAAAGACTGGTGGACCATGCCCAGCATGTTCCCCAGTGTACCTGAAATACCCTCCCTCCGTGCTGTGCCTACCCTGGGGAAGTTCTGCTGTTTCCCCCAATTCCAGCTGAAGTACTGCCTCCAATTTAATGATTTTCTTAGAAGAATTTCAGTCCTCCTTTTCGAGTGATCCCAAGACAGTTTTATTGATGCCTCCATGACAGACTTTTGTCATAAAATTTTGTCGTAGTTTGTATCCAGGCCTTTCCTACAGACTGTGAGTTCTTGGAGGACAGAGATTACATTTTATTCATATTTGTGTCACTGTCCATTAGCACGATGGTCTTGGCACATTGAATTAACATGCTGATATATGGTAAGAGGGGAAAGGAAGTAATATTTCTTGAATAACTGCTATATGCTAGGCATATTTTTAATTTCTTTTTTCTTTTTTTTTGATGCAGGGTCTCACTATGCAGCTTTGACTCATAGTGATCCTCCTGTCTCAGCCTCCCCAGCACTGGGAATATAGGTGTGCACCACTGTGCCCAGTTTCAGCAGCTGGCACAGCATGTTGGGGTTCTGGAGCTGGTATGACATGTGGTACTGGGGGTTGAACTTGGGACCTTGCACTTGCCAGGTGGACACTTAGGCCACTGAGGTATCTCCCCAGCCCCATATTTTTTATTTCTTACTCCAACTTTGTAGAGAAGGAATTTTAGATCTTTTGCCATTTGTTCTCCAGTTCTGAGAATTGAACCCAGATCCTTTCTGATGCTGTGCAAATGCCCTACTCCTGAGCCACGACTATAGTCTTTGGCCTTCTTTTACTGTTGTTGAACCAAAGGTTGGAGTGTAGGATTTGAGCATCATTTTCAATCTTTACAAAGTCCAAGATGCTTCCTTCAAAAGTACTACATTATGAAAAATAAGAATAATGTAACAATGCAATTTCTAAGTGGCACAATCTGTCTTAAGGGTTTGATACTAAAAACAAGTGTCATCAGTGTTCTCAGTGTTTAACTCTCAGAATGACCCTCATATGAAAGTATCACTGTTTTCTCTGTTTTGAGAGGAGGACCCTTTACCACAGAGAGATTACATGATTAGCTCAGAGTCACACAGCACCTAAGCAGGGGGTCAGGTTTCGAATCAAGACAATTGGGTTCCATTCTTGCGCTCCCAAAGAATGACTCCTGTGAGTTGGCTTCCTCGTCCCAGTGGACTCCACTGGCCAGAAAAACAAATTTATGAGGCAGTGGAGGGGCTGACCCACATGACCTCTCCACCAAGAAATTAGAATTTAGCACTGTGATTTCTCAATAATAAGCATTTAAGAAAAATTTCCTTTGCTTGTTTATCTCTACACCATCTCGGGCTCCACACCTGGCACCTTGGCATTCTGTGGACAGTGGCACAAAGGTCGCAGTGCCTACTCTGGGGTGTGGCCACTGGCACGAGTTAAAAGCTCTTTTTGCCAATGAAATGAGCATTTGAGGGAGACAGAGATCAGTTTATATCAATGCAGTTCTCTGTGTAATATAATTTTAGAAGCCGGAAATTTGGGGGGCTTGATCATACTTTGCCAAATCCCAGCGTTTCCGTTCACCCCCAATTCTTATGATTCAGTGGCTGGGGATGGCGGCATCATAGCTGAAGCATCTCTTACCCCAGAGCCCTTCCAGCTACAGGAATGCTTTCCCTGCATTCTGCCTGCAGCAGTGTACTGGGAACTCCTAGAACATCCCGAATTATTTCAAGCTCCTTCCTTTCACCGTGTTGAAATGTGTGTCCTTGTTAATTTCTCCTACTCCTCCGAACGTATTTTTGAGGACATACACTGAATAAGTTCAATCTTTGTTTCATGTGAGACCTCATCAGATAGTTCATAGAACCTGCATTCTTTAGCACCAAAGGAGCTTCGCTGTCTACCTACTGAGCAAAGTCTTCACACCATGTATTACTTCTGTAGGCTTAATGTTTCTACTTCTTTTAGCTGTTTTTCTTGTAGTTTCTACTCTTGATACAGGATTATGGATACCATATCCTTACCATGTAGTCCTTTGGCCCTATGGAGTATCAGCCCAATGATCCTTTAACCTGGGTCTAGACTTTCTAATTTCCAGTCTGTTTTCTCTCTGTCTCTGTCTTTGTCCTTCTTTCTCTCTCTCTCTCCCCCTCCCTCCCTTCCTTTCTTTTCTTTTTCTTTTTCTTTCTTTTTTTTTTTTTTTTTTTTTGTATTTTTAGGGAAGGATCTACAGGGTGTTCAGGGTCTCACTACTAGATTGGACTCGTAGTGATCCACCTGTGTACAGCCTCCCAAGAGCTGGGATTACAGGTGTGCACCACCACGTCCAGTCTCAATTGCCTTCTCAGTGCACCCTGGGGGTGGGGCCAGCACAGCAGGCCAGGGGATCGAATCCCCAGCCCCTGCACCTGCTTGCAGGCACTTTAATCTGCTGAGCTATTTGGCTGGCCCTTCCAGTCTTTCTTCTGATGGTCTTAGGTTCTTGAATTTGTTGGAGGCATGGGTGGCAGGATGAGTTTCTGGATTCTTTTTTTTTTTTTTTTTTAATGTATTTAATACAGGGTCTAACTACTCAGCTCAGACTTGTAGTG